AAAATTCTGTCTGCCAAGAGCAAGGGGAAGTGGAGCAGATGGACGGAGGTACAGATGAAACGGTCTGGGGCTGACTGACCCCGTGTCAGGACTTCTTTGAGTAAGAGGTTCGGCTGGCTTCCCATTTATCAAGCCGAGCAGCCCCACCTGGCTTTTACTGACTGAACCAATTCCTCGGCGGGGAGCACCAGCCCCGCTTAGGACAGAGGTGGGTTGGCTGCAAGTTAAGAATACACTGAAAGGCTTTATGGTGTTTTTTCCCAATGGCTCTTCTCCTTGGAACCGTGCTTCCGTCTTTTCTGGTCTTACATGTTAGACGCTTGGCAGGAGAACCTCTCTCAGGCATGGTGCAGGCTTGTAGCTCCCGGCTCCGTATCTGGGCAAAAACCCCAGCTCTGTGAATGCAGGGAGATTCGCTCAGCCTGGGGCGATCAGTCAGCTTCTTCCTGATGTGAGGGAATAATAATCTTCCCTGCCTAGCACAGGGTCATCGAATCCAGGAACATGGCTGTACTTTGATGTGTTTGAAAGGCAGAATTTGAGTTTCACTTTGAAGTGTTCCTTCTGTCTTTGTCAGAGCACAGGATGCCTGAAGGGCAGGGAGAGAGAAGTTCATTTTTAAAAGAAAACAAAAACTTTTAAGTCTCCAGCACTCCCAGACCAAAAAGATAAGGATAATAACAGGATTTGGGCAGTTTTTCCCCTTTTATGAAGTTCCACGCTGATTGAGATGGTCGGCCTGCATTAGGGTCCTAACAATATTAAGCAAAATGTTTGAGCTTGTGCCTCTTTCTTCATAGAGAAATATGCTTGATCCAGAGATCTGGGCCTTGGCCTTGGCTGCTTCCCTAACCTGCTACTCCACAGCTTTATGGAACCCGAAGGCAGCTTCACAAGGTCTTAGTGAGTGACGTGGTCACACCAGCTAGAGATGCCTCTTCTTGGAAGGCGAGGCAGCCCTACCCGCAGTGCCGAGGAGCAGGGGCACAGATCTGCTCTGTTCTTCCAAGCGGCCATTATGCCGTGACCTCAGATGGTGCCGCTCAGCTGGGCCTGGACTTACTGACAGATAATTCGGCTCTAATTTTTCCTGTGACATTCAGTCCTCTGTCATAAGAGAACATGTGACAGATTTTTGCTTAATCACCTATGGTAGTTATTTTTATCAAAATCTCCTTTTCTTTCCTGTTAATCTGATTTTTAAAAAAAACCCTATTAAAAGTGAGAAGAGCTTCCAGAAGGTGATAATAATTATTTATAAGCCTCTACCTATGTGTAATACATAGATTCACGTTTTGATGTGTCTCCTCCCATTTTTACCACTGCTCTGCTTAAACATAATTAGTGTCATCTTGTACATCCATACACATACACATACACATTTTTACAATCGCCTAAATGGATTCTTTACTTTGTGATTCTTAAACTACTTTATAATATGTGAGTCTTCAAAACTGCTTTCGCCTTTGAATAGCCCCTCAAATCCATGGGCAGAGAATGTATTCCTGTCTCACTGTGTGGCTAAGGGAACGGCATCTCAGTGAAGTGCAGTGTACTGAACAAATACTTGATGCTCGTGTCTGTATTTCCAGCACAGTGCTGTCCAGCAGGCTGGCCAAGGACATCTCAGTAAATGCTGAGAATCACTTGAACATAGATCTGCTGTCCCTTTGACACCCCAGTTGAACCCTTTCACATTCTTACGTCTGTCCCCAAATCTAGACTGGTTATTGGAGTTGATCTTGGAGAGGAGAAAGTGGTGTCCAAGGTGAGATTGGCACCCAGAGATGTCAATGAGTGGACAGCCCCAGAGCCAGAGACCTGGCCATCATACAGGCCAAGGACGCAGGTCCCACAGCTGCTCTGAGACCGAAGCCCACGGGAGGCGGGTCTGGAGATCACTGCAGTGACAGCTTTGTGTAGATCACAGGATCTGAGCTTACTGTTTTGGTAGTCTTGAGGAATGTGTTGCACACTAGTACAGATGACACACTAGTATCAGCGGTGGGTGACATCAGGCCTAGAGCATCTGCATGTGACACACAGTTGTGTCTTAACAAGGGAAAGTTGGTCTGTGGTATTGGGACATTTTCCATAAACCTCTACAACGTTCTGTAAATCTAAATCTATTCTAAAGTGAAAGCTTATCACTGTTTTTAATGAATAAGAGTTTACCAGACCCAGAAAGAGCTTCCTAGCGGGAGGCGTTGGATGCACAGGCCAGGAGCGGACACAGCATGTGTGGAAAGGGTAAGGGAGCGTGGGGATGGCACATGCCGGGGCTGAGGCAGGGCGGGCAGCCTCAGGAGCTCGTCTTTCAGGTCAGGCTCACATGCCTTAGGACTTACACTGCGGGAAATGAGACCCAACCAAGTCACTGTGATGAACTCACATCACAGTTGAGTTTATTTACTGTAAAGATAACAGCAATTGAGGACATGCGGAATAAGGGAGAGGTTGGGGCTGATGAGCAGATGAGGAGACCATCACAGTGATGAACAAATGAGACCGTCACAGTGATGAACAGATGAGAGGACCATCACCGTGATAAGCAGACAAGAGACCTTACAGCAATGAACGGATGAGGAGACCTTTACAGTGATGAGCAATTATGAGACCATTACAGTGATGAGCTGATGGGGAGACCGTTACAGTGATCTGAGCAAACTCCGCAGTGACTGGAAGCAGAGACCAGTGTGGAGAGGCATTGGGAGGCTCAGAGCTGAGCTTAAACTCTAGCTGCACAGGGCTTCATCCCCACTGCTGCCTCCTGCCTCTGTCCCCGTGCTTCTGCCTGATTACTGTCCCAGGAAAAATGATTGATTGAGCCTGAATTGATTGAGACCAAGCAGCACTCAAAAGCAGGTGCTCATCCAAGCCAAGCAGCAGAGAATCAAGATGCCTTTGGCTGAGAGGCTTGGCGTCAAGTCTAGGAACCCAGGTTCCAGTCGACGGTAGGATCTCCGGTGTCTAGGACTGACACATCATCAGTAGGGCCAGATTGCCTCCATCTGAACTCTGAGTCATCAAGCTGATGGAGGGGACGGTATAACTTCACCCACAGCCAGGAGGACCACAGGCCACACCAGAGGGTTCAGGGGCTCCACGGCCTGGGCTAAGCAGTCAGGGGACGCAGTTGCAGGCAGCTCAAATGCACCCCTTTATCTGCAATGGAGCGTCTCCAGGATGCAGGAAATCAAACTCTTGACACTGTTTACTGAGCTTGTACTGTTCGTTATGACCAACATTTTAATCCAGCGGCAATCAATTCTGAGTTCTAGTGCTATTTCTTGAACCCCAGTGGAGAAATATTTCCTTTGCACTGTCCCAGTTTCCAGAGTGTGGCACCATTAATATCTCTGATGCCTTTGATTAGAATTCTGGGCGGAACTTAACTTGCGCTTTGCTGCAGTGCCCACCGCATTAATTAGTGGTGCTTCTGGGGCTCTTCAGAGTATGTGGTCAGGCTGTTATTTTTTTTTACCACTGCCAAGCATCCTTTTGTATAGGATGGAGGTGGTCTTAGTGAGTATCATGTCCAAGGTCGCAACAGAAATTTCAGGTTTCTTTGCACTTCTAGAGCTCCATATCTCATTCTGATGGATTTGCTTTAGGGTTCAGAACTGTTGCGTGTCCCAAGTGGAATGGTGGCTGATTACGGCTCAGTGTGCAGATCCTGCTGCAGGTGTCCATCGATGCAGAATGCTGGGAGAGTAGATGCATCCTTCATTGGGCTGCTGGTGGCTCCCTGGGGACCCCAGTGCCACATCTCCATGAAGGGTGCATCCTCCACTCAAGCAGGGCCCCTGAGGGTCTCCCATGATGAAAAGTAGGTGCCTCTGGAGGCGATCTGATCGCTGGAGCCCTTGCTGCACAGGTGTAAATCGTCAACAGTAGCAGAAGCCGCTTCACCTGGAGCTTGTTAGACAGACATAATCTCAGGCTGCAGAATCCCAGAGTGCGTGCAAATTCCCGAGGTGATTTGTGTGCACATCGCCATTGGAGGATTACTGCTTTAATCTGCGGCAGTGGCTCAACCCTGGCTGTGTGTAAGGATTGCCCAGAACTAAAATGTCCGTATCTAGCCCACTATGGGCCAATTAAACCACAATCTCCGGAGGCAGAGCCCAGCTTTCAATATGTCTGAGAAGCCCCTCAAGAGAACCTATTATGCAGCCATGCTAGAAGCAGTCCAGGGACTTAAGAGATCAAGATCTCCTGGAAGCATTAATGCTCCCCATGCCTGGCCCTGTGGTTCTGATTTAGCTGGCTTGAGATTGGCTAGCGTCTGTCCTTTTTCTGTCTCCCCAGTTAATAATTGGGAATCATTGGCTGGGAAAAGGCTTGATTATTGTTGTCCAGGTCCTCTGAGAACACAGGGACTGAAGCAGTCCCAAGAACGCCTTCCTTTTCTGTAGTTTCTGAACCAGCAGAGAGCTTGTTGGGGTGCCAGGCAGAGAGGCATCGGGCTGCTGGGCCTGGCCATGCCCTCAGGAGGGTATGCAGGTCCAGAGCACATGTATTCTGCTGCCAGCTCCTACCTGCATGTTGGGAAAGTTGCGATGTTCACACCGTAGTGAAACCTGGTGTTTCTCCCAAGCCTCCTCCTGCTTATAGTGGTGTCAGTGACTGATCTTAAGGATCCTATGGTGATTTGGGAAAGTCAAAAGAGGAGAGAAAAAAGGGGAGACTTTGTGGGAGACCAGCGGCGCAGCCTCTTTGGGTGGACAGAATAGAATTGCATGTAACTTTCGGAGACAAGGTTTAGTTTTTAGTTTCATTTTAGCGATGTGCAGGTCCTAGAGATCGGAGTGAGCTGATGGGGAAGTGGAGCTTTCTCTCCGTTTCGTCTCCATTTCTGTGCTCCAGAGATGACCTGGGGCTCTAGGAAGCCTATGGCGCTACTGTCCACCTACCTCCCTGGCGCAGATCCTGGTTCCGGGGGGACTCCTGCTGCGTGCCCCCTTTGCATCCCTCACATTCCCTGTCTTCCTTCACAGCTGGCAACGTGGGACTCGGAGAAGGGTCTGAACGGCAGCTTGCAGGAGAGGCCCATGGGCAGCCGCCTTCAAGGACTGACTCTCAAAGTGGTGACTGTCTTGGTAGGATTATGGGGGACACTCTGGGAGCATGGCTGGCCATGGTTTTCAATCAAGGCTTCTTCCTGTCTGATGTGAGGTGCAGGGAGCAGGGGACCTTGGGGTGTGGTTTGAGCTTTCCCAAGACCTTTCATGGGAATCAGGGTGAATGGTGAAGGAGAGACTAAGTTTGGAGATCTCTCCTGGGGCTGCCGAGCCTCCCCTGGAGGTGCCTGAGATGGAGGGGGGGGGGACCAGTCCTGCAGATCTGCTGCTGGCCTCCAAGAACACTTGCTGCCTGGCTGGTGCTCAGACGTGAACTTTACCTTGACCTATTGCTGCTCTTTGAGGGGCTGTACTGGTAGCTGGGTCCCCCAGAAAGATGCCAGGAGGAGGCATCTCTGGACATGGTGATGGCACATACCACACAGTTTGCAGTGAAGACAGCCTGCTACAGTTTTTCTGCTTAGTTACCCTGGAATCACAAAGGTTTACACTGGTGAGATTTTCTTTTGACTCGTTTTTGTCACCTCTTTAGAAGACCCCCAGGGATGTTTCCGATTTTTCTCCTTTCTGGCTGGGTCAGACATGGTCCAAATGCCATCCCTGTCCCAACAGTCACAGGAACCTTTGGTAGCAGCGTGTCTGCTTCCCCTGTTTGTACCCCATGAATAGGCCTGGTATCGTTTTTCCAACAACACTAACCTAGTGAGGTACATCGTCTGGGGCTGTTTGCCAGAACCCTTCCTGTGTGATCCCACCAGGAAGCTGGTGAGAATGCAGAGATCTTTTCCAGATGGCCCCTGCCGGATATGATGGGCACTCACCGTGCGGGTGTGATCACAGCCCGCTCCGGCCAGGGCCTGAGGTTTAATCCTCTCTCATCCCTGGATTTATGGCCAGGCTTGGCACTCGATCAGCACCCGTTTTCTAGCACAGCCTGATAGATACGATGCTGTCTTTTCTCGGACTAATCTCACAGAGCTTTATTGTCATGAATGACCCTGGGGGAGACGTGTCCGTGTCTTATCTGTAGTCACCCAGACCGATGGCATTTCCTAAGGACAGAGTCCTGGTCTGGAATGAAGGAGTGCAAACACACCACACTGTCCTGAGAGGCGGGCTCTGGGCAGGGCTGGGAGATGACAGACCCAGGACGGTTAAATCGCCGTTGCTGCATGTTGCCCGGGGGTGGGAGCGGGTCCACAGCTCCACGGTGCATGTGCTGCTTTTACAAAAAGCAGAGGAGTTTGGCCTCGGGGTGGAAGCTGGGTGAATGCCGAATTCTGCTACTATGGCTGGTGATGGGGTTGGAGCCCGGGTTAAGGTCTTCCTTTGAGTTACACCCCAGCCCTGGTATCGGCCTTCTGCCTATGGTGTATCAGATGGGTCTCTCCAGCAATGTTCTGGAAGTGCACATTAATGGACCTTTTATTTAACTGAAGAACATTCATTCTCTTGTCCCCAGGAAGAGCCTTTTGTGATGGTGGCTGAGAACATCCTTGGGCAGCCCAAGCGCTACAAAGGCTTCTCCATAGATGTCCTGGATGCACTGGCCAAGGCTCTGGGCTTCAAATACGAGATTTACCAGGCCCCCGATGGCAGGTACGGGCACCAGCTCCATAACACCTCCTGGAACGGGATGATCGGGGAGCTCATCAGCAAGGTAGGTCCCGAGAGCAGGCCAGTGGGGAGGGCACCTACTCGTTTGCTAGGGGAATGCCGAAATCGGGCCTGCTGAGCAGCTGGGCCCTTGGGAGCCAGCTAACAGACCCCGGCTACCTCTCTCCAGTCTTGTGACCCTCCCTTCCCTCCTCTCCGCTGCTCTTCTTATATCCATCCTGCCTTTTAATCTCCTCAGCCCCTTGCCTCCTCTCATTCCTTTGGAGTCTGTGCACTGTAATGCTGCCTTCCGGAAACACACCCCACCCGCACGGGAATAAGAGTATAGTGCCCCCGCCCCCGGCCCTGGGAACACTTACTTTCTTATTCATCAGACTTTACAGGCGTGCACTTGTGTGTGTAAATGTGTGCATGAATGGGTGTCTGCGTGTGCATACATTGCTCTCTCTCCATGTGTGGCCTTCTCTAGCTTTTCATTCCTTTTCCAGTCATCCCTTCTGCTCCCTCCTGTAAGATGTGCCCTTGCAGAAAGCCATGGCGGGACGCCAAGTCACATATCCCCATCTTGCTCCTGTGGTCTCTGTGATCACTTACCATGGAGGGACAGACTCCCCCTTCCCTCTCCAGTGCTGCTGCAGCCACCGCCTCCTGGACAGTGTCTGGCATTGCTGCAGGCAACCTGACTCCTGGGACTGTCACCCCCTCGGCTCTGGGAACTTTGCTGCTCCAGCCCAGGGATGTCTCCCCTGCACCGTGTCAGTGCTGCACAGCCACCCATTCGGTCCTGTCTTGGGATGACTTGTCCTTCTGTTTTTGATGCTTTATTCCAGAAATGCAGTATCTCTGCTTTCTAAGCCTGTGAGGGCAGATGTGAGGTCTGTAATTCCTCCAAGTTTTCTTACTATGTTTGCAAAACGACTCTATTGTGATAGAATTTAGGTATGATAAAATATGACGTTTAATACACCTACCGATTTGTGCATAGCCATGTAGTCTTAGTTAGAGCTCCTCTGTTACCCTTGGCGAGCTCTCCTAGTTGATTACAGTTAATGCCACCCCCACCCCTCCCAGCCCTTGCTCTCTCTGCAGAGTTGCACTTGTGAACATTTTACACCAGCAAAGGCGTATTATGCACAGGCACTTGTGTCTGGTTCTGACATTAGCATAAGCTTTGGAGCTGCAGCTTCCCCTATGTTCCTGTGCTCTTCGGATGCCGAAGCCTTTCCTCCTTCAGGGTCGCCCATCGCTGACCCCGCAGACCCACCCCTGCCCTTCGTCTCTTGTGATTTCGTGTCTTCTTGATTTCCTGTTTCCCCTAACTCCTGAATCAGTTCTATCGCTTACGCTCTTGACTCAGACACCAGCTTTCTGTGTCCAGTAAGAGAAGAATTTCACAAATCTGCAAAGATTAATGCAGTGGTGTGTGGGGCCACTGGGCTTCAGTGCAGCTCAAGTCCCTGAAAGTGTCCCCTGTCAGGCCCTTGTCTATGCCCCAGAAAGAGTGTCAGTAGTTTACCTTTCCCCTCCAGCTCCCAAATAATCTTCCCTCCTTCTCAGTTAAGAAAATAACTTTTACTCAAATGTTAGGGAAAGAAATTGAGATTTTTAGGCATGAAGTTCTACTTTAAAGACACATCAGTGGGCACCGGCGCCCCATCAGAGGTGTCCCTCTCGTCCACCACAGAGCTCTTCTCCCTGCTCTGTGAGTTGATTTCCCATGCCTTGTCTGAGCCTTGCTTCCTAAATTAGCTCCCCTCCATCCTCCGTTGTCAGCTTACGTTCCTCTGCTCACTCTTTTTCTCAGTCCTTAAATAGGTCTAGACTCTCCTGACCCTGATGGAGATCCCGAGATCTTAGGTGTCTCGGAGAAGAGGCAAAATCTGGATAGGCTCCAACACAGTCTCCGCCAGCGTTTGCTTCTCTAGGCTGCTGTTGGGTTTCTGTTCAGGACCTCGGTGAATCTGCTCCTCTAGCCCTCACGTGAAGTCTTACAAAAGTCGTCCATCTGTATTTCCTCCATTTGGAGCCTGTAGGTTAGGCCAGAGGTCATCATAGGCCATTCTCGAATGTGTCTGATTCTGCCGATCCCTCCGACCTGGAGACCCAAGAGCCCAGAGCAGGATGAGTGGCAGACTCCCCGCCACTTGCTCACGTAGGCACAGGATGCATCACCTCCACACAGCAGAGCAGCTTCATCCTCAGGCTAATTCCATCTTAATGCAGACTTAGTCTCTTTTTAAAATGAAATCTGCTTTGGCGTGCCAAAGCCCTGGAAGGTAATTTTTAGGTCACAGTATGACGCGTCCAAAGGGAGCCTTCCTAGGGTGGCTTGACTGTAAGAAAAGTTGGCTCCAGCATGTTCAGGCTCAGATGGCAGGTGGTGGGAGACAGAAATAAGTAGGTGACCCCTCTCTGCTTGGAGGACTTTACCCTCTGGCACAGTCTGCATACAGAACCATGGGGATGGGTGTGTTACTGAGATCCAGCAGGGTTGCACAGCTCACCCCACCACTCGGGAAGTATTTTAGAGAAGAGAGGATCAGGGTGGGATAACGGGTTTTGGGAAGGCTTGTTGGGGACAGGAAGTCGGCCCATAATCTGGCTGCATGGGGAGGATTCAGATCAGCGTAGGAGAGAGACGGGTCCTCGTGGTGGGAGAGACCCCACGGCAAGAGAGATCGCGAGTGGGAATCAGTGGGAAGCAGTGAGAAATAAAAGATGGACCACAGCTGAGGAAAATGAAGAAGTTTCCTGTGCAGACATTTCCAGGCCTTTGAAGGTCTGGGGGGACACGTTGCAGGGGGAAGGAGGTAGGGGCCATGGCGGTTGCTTGCCTCTGAACAGAGCTACTAGGGGGCCTGAGGGCAGACCTTACGGGAGGCACCCCAGGCGGTGCCCCCTGATGCGCTGCTTTGCCTTCCAGAGAGCAGACGTGGCCATCTCGGCCATCACCATCACCCCCGAGAGGGAGAGCGTCGTGGACTTCAGCAAGCGCTACATGGACTACTCGGTGGGGATTCTCATCAGAAAGCCGGAGGAGAAGATCAGCATCTTCTCCCTCTTCGCCCCCTTTGACTTCGCGGTCTGGGCCTGCATCGCGGCTGCCATCCCCGTGGTGGGCGTGCTCATATTCGTGTTGAACCGAATACAGGCTATGAGGGCTCAGAGCGCCGCCCAGCCTCGGCCGTCCGCCTCTGCCACCCTGCACAGTGCCATCTGGATCGTGTACGGAGCCTTCGTCCAGCAAGGTACCTCCTGCTTTCCTGAGCTCTGATCGGCCCAGGAGACTGGGAGAACTTGTTCGGTTTCTAGTCTTCAGATGCATCTCCCCAAAGTCACTTCCGGTGCAATTCTAGTTTGTCTCTAGTTCAGTGCTAATACTGCGATGCACCCAGTTCCTCTAAGTGATATCAGACGGGAATTAAATGAAGCAACCACAAGGAACCCATTGAGCAGTTCTGATTCTCCACTTTAGAGAAAATTAACTTTGGAATTATGCTAGCACCTTTCTCCCCTCCCTCGCTAGGCTGATTGCTGTGCACTGAGGTCATCACCTGACACTCTGGAGCTTTGCTTAAAGGTGGAGGCTTAATGGGAAGGGAAAGAGCTCAGTGGTGTTGTAGTCACTGTGAGCCAGCCCTGCAGCCGTCCTGGAGATGCCAAACCACCCACCTCTAAGAGGTCTGGGTGGCTCTCGTATCTGGTGGGGAGTTTCAGGATTGTGTGACTCTGACTGGAAAGAACTAATCGCAGGGTTCTTCAGCGTGGAGCTTGGCCTTGTTTGCGCCATGGCAAAGGCTTTCCACGATTATGTGAGGGAAACGGGCAGGGAGGAGCTTTCTTTAGCTACCCCCTGAGGGACCAAAGAGAAATAATTGGCCTCAAAGAGGCAGCTTCTTGCTGAAAGTTACATGCAATGATTTCTAAAAGTGCAGGGGAAATCATCTGGTGAGAGCTGAATATTAATAAAGTGATAGGCTGTATCTCATTTCTCTGGTTGAAAAGAAAACCGGGAACCCACCAGGTAAGGAGTCATTCTGTATTCACAGAATTCCTGTCTTCTCTATGTGAGTCTGAAATTGCAGAAGGACCTTACGTCAACTGCCAGCTATAGAAGTTCTTACCTTTGGAATCTCCTATGACGTTCTGATGGGCAGCACTTTCTTCTTGGTGCTCTGATACAACTTCCCATCCCTCGAGACCAAGCTTAACATATCTGTCCGTCCCTTTCCAAGACTGGTGGCTTTAGGATCTTTTCTTAAAGGAGACATCCTGCTGGCAGTCACTCATGGGTGCCCAGAGCATGCATAGTGGCAGCTGTGTGCCTGGCTGTGGGGTGTGCGTCTCCCTGGGGTGGGGTGGCCGGTGCGCTGGCCCACGCCCTGCGCCTGTCTCCTCAGGTGGCGACAGCTCTGTGAACTCCATGGCCCTGCGCATCGTGATGGGCAGCTGGTGGCTCTTCACCCTCATCGTGTGCTCCTCCTACACCGCCAATCTTGCTGCCTTCCTCACAGTGTCCCGGATGGACAACCCCATCAGGTGAGCCCCTCTGCGTCTCCATCCGGGACCTCGAGCTTGAAAAGGCTTTACAGAGAAGGTAACACTGTGGGCGAGGGCCGGACATGACAGGACAGATTGGATTCCGGGCTGCAACGGGATGTGCGGCATATGTAGTGCCAGCAAGGAACTCCATTCTGTTGTATTTTATCTCATGCACAATGACATAAATGTATAAGTGCATGAGATAATATTAATCTGAGCTTTTAAATACGTCTTACAAAACTAATACATCAAAACATTACACTCAGAAAATTGAATTTCCTCAGACATTTAAACACTGATTTGCAAACTCATTTAATCAAAAGTTTTATCAACATTTAGTTAAGATTAATTGAAACACAAGCCTAATGTATTTTTCAAATATTCAGACATCTTAAAATTATCTTTTAAAAATAAGCCAATTATCATAAGCAGAAAAATTATTTTCACTTACGTCTATAAAATTGGAGCATTATTGTAAGGATTAAGGTTTTGTCTTCATTGAAATGCCTTATTTTATGAGAAGAGTCCCAAATATAGGGACATTTCCAGGAGACTTGAGGTGGATGTGTGTTGGGTGTGTCCTTGCTAAGCCGAGTCAGCGTGAGTCTGTTCCACACTTGCTTGGGTGCAGCCCTGGCTTCCGTGGGGCTCTCAGCCGAGCCTGGAGGGCTTCTCAGAGTTGCTGCGTGTGTATCACCTACTGTCACTGTGCTGGTCCTTTTGATCCACAGCTCTGTCAAGTCATCCTTACTTAATCACCTTCTCTGGCTCCCACCTGCTTACTGAAGAGTTCAGATTCCTCACCTTGGATCTAAGGTTCAATGTGTGATTATTTGGTGGCTTCATCAAACTGACGTTTTAATTGAGATGATTATGGTTTCACAACACGTTGTCCAAAGTAAGGCAGAGCGGTCCACCGGGATCCTTCACTTAGTTATCCCCAGTGCAACACTTTGCAAAATGATGTGTTTTATTACGAGAAGGCCATTGACATGGGTGCCATTAACTGTTTCATTTAGGGGTCCCCCTCGTACTCGGGCTCCTGTGTACAGGGGTGTGGTGTGTGTGTGTTCCATTCTGCGTAGATTTCTGGGTCTATCCCTGCAGTAGACACGCAGCAGCTCCTTCGCCAGGTCCCCTTCTGCTGTCCTTTCACAGACACACCCTCCTCCTCCACAGTCCCTCCTCTCCCATCTGGCCCCTAATCCCTGGCAACCACTAATTTCCCTCTGTTTCTAAAATTGTATCATTTCAAACATGTTGTATGAGTAAAACAAGCAATACCGTTTGGCTGTGGGTTTTTGGAAACTCAGTGTGACTCCTCGGAAGGTCACCGGGCCAGGGTGTGTCCACTGCTCATCTCCTTTATTGATGAGTGATATCCTAGGTCCCGCAGCGAGTTTAACCATTCACCCCTGGAGGACAGTGGGTTCTTCCAGTTCTTGGCAGTTTTGAATGAAGCTTTTGTTGTTACCCAGTTTTGAGCCAAATCCTGCCCCTTTAGCTCTCTAGAGCATAGCCGATAACCACATTCGAGGTGGCCGGAGCAGAGGGAGGACTTCACAGCAGCCAGTGAGGAACGGAAAGGCGGGGAGTCCAGTCCTCAGATTTGCACCCCCAGCAGAGTATAGAAACGAGGTTCCATGCACTTGGGAGACTAGAAGGGGCCTCGGGATAACTAGAGGGAGGGACACCCCTGACTTTCCCAAGAAATTGCCACCTGGTCCCCACTCACTTTCCTCTATCAATCATTTGTGTGGTCAGTTTCACGGGTCATCACGGAGACACTGAACTGAGAGGCTGGTCTGGAATTTACAGTGAAAATACCTGACAGTGTGGCTGGAGGTCCAGCTGAGGCCAGGGTGGTTTCTCAGCTGGTTCAGGCCAGCTCAGTTAGCTGGAGTCTAAGATCCAAGTTTCCAACCCGGTGGTCCTAAGACCTGGTGGCCTCCTGTCTTTCATGGAAGCACATCATTGGTGTAGTCAGACACCTCTCCGTAGGTGCTGATCGTACAGTCTGACCAGGCCTCAGGGAGGGGGACAAAGAGAAACAGAAGGGGAGCAAACCACAGGGCAAAGCACTCACTGCAGCAGGGCCGGGCTGACGGCAGCCTGTCCTGTGCACCTTGCGTGTGTGTGGTTGCAGATGTTTGTTCTCCCCCAGGATTTTGAAGCTTCTTTCTATTAGTATCGCTAAAGTTTTGTCAATTGTTTATCTTTTCAAAAAACCAGCTTTGAGTCTTGATTTTTTAAATTATCTTTCTAGTCTCCCTCTCACTTATTTTCTATTTTTATTTATTTTTTATCCGTACCGGGGATCCAACTCACGACCGTGTGCTTGCAAGGCAGGCGCTTATGCTGCTGAGCTAAATCCCCAGCCCCTCTCTCTCATTTATTTCTGTCCTAATTTTTATTTCCTTTCTGCTAACTTTGGATTCTTTGTTCTTCCCACACTCCTGGCTCCTCACATCATAAAGTTAGCTTTTCTATTGGAGATCTTCCATTGTTTTTAATGTAGTTTTTTAATGAATATTAATTTCTTTCTTAGAAGAGCTGTTGCTGTATGTCATAAATTTGGTGAGGTTTCATTTGTCTTAAAATATTTTCTAGATGTTTCTTTTGACTTCTTGTTTAGCTGTTTAGGGATGTGGTGTTTAATCTCCATATTTTTCAAATTTCCTAAATCTGTTGTTACTGCTTTCTGGTTTGACAGCATTGTTGTTCCCAAAGATACTTGGTGTGATTTCAACCTTGTTAAATTTGTTACACTTGTTTTGTGGTCTAACAAGTTATTGGTGCTGGAGAATGTTCCATGGGGGCTTGAAAAGAATGTGGACTTTGGTGCTGTTGGATGGAATGTTCTGTATTTGTCTGTTATTCTAGTATTTTTCTACGGCTTTTTAATTTTCTGAGGGATGATCTTTCTGTTGTTCAAAGTGGGCTGATGAAGTCCTTTCCTCTTGGTATGTTGCTATTTACCCCTTCAATTATGTTGCTCAGGTGTGAAAATATTTGACACACAGTTATATCTGCTTAATAAATCGACCCAGTTATCATTGTGTAGTGACTTTCCTTGTATCTTGTGACAGTTTTTGACACAGAGTCTATTTTACCTGGTAAAAATATAGCCAATTTGTTCTCTACTGTTCACATGGTATGCCCTTTTCCACTAATTTTTATTCACTGAATGTGCTTTTGAATCTGCAGTGAATGTGTACATAAGGTAGTTGGAGTATGCTTTGTAAAATTCTGCTAAACTTTTTAATTTTAAATAGAAAGTTTAATCCATTGTCATTTAGTGTAATTAGTAAGCAAGTTCTTCTGTTTTCCTATTTTATTTCCCCACGTGTTCCTTCTTTTGTTCCTCATTTCTCTGTTACTCCTTTTGTGTTAAGAGAGGTGTTTCTTATTTACCATTTTAATTCTCTTGTTGACTCATGGTTCCTGATGCATGTTATATTTTTTGCATATTTGTATATATGTGAATGCCATATTCTTAGTCATTACCCTGTGCATCATAATTAGCACCTTACTTTATAGCAATTCACTTTAGATTAGTACTGTTTTTAGTAATATGTATGGACTATGCTCCTGTGTACATTGTGACACCCTCTCTTTCCTCTGTTGAAACTGTTGGGTGAGAGTCTGTTGTTATCTTTTTATTTTGCCTTTGTATATGTTGCGTTTGACATTTTCCCTGTGCTCACCTTGAGGTCTGGGTATCAGATTCCTTTCCACTTTCTCCTACTGGATCTGACCATCAGATTACCTTACAGTTGACTACACAGTTTAAAAATCAGGCTTTGGCATCGGTTGTAGTTAGGTGTTGTACACAGAGAACAATTAGAATCAGGACATGGAGTTTATATATTATTTTTATAATGGTCACTGGGGGTTAACACAAGAAATGGAGGACATCTGTCCACAACAGCAAAGACATTTAGAATAACTTAGTCAGGGGCCTAAATCCCACAGCAATGTCCCACCTGAGTCCAGATAAAAACCCAGAGCTCAGGACAGTGCCTCCCACGAGTCCAGCTGGAGGTCCAGAGCCCAAAAGAAGGACTCACACCAGTCTCTTTTACGGATCCGCTCCGGGAAGGCCCAAAGGTCAGCGGTGAAAGCCAGAGTCCATGCCAGCGGGGTGAAGGAGCTGTGTTGGTGGGATGAGGGTTCTACACTGGAGCCAGGAAGTCACACTCACAACAAAGACCAGGGTTGTCCTGACAGGCACCATAGTCATCCTCAGTGACACGGAGGCCCCGAGCTCCTCCTATGACAAGCACAGTCGGGTACGTGCCAGGAAGCAGCGTGACGAGTTCATCCTGGAGACCAAGCAGCACATGTCTTCCCCTCTGGAGCCAGGAAGCAATGCTCGATGTGAGGACCAGAGCTTCTCCAGGAGAACCAGCAGCTCAAACAGCAACTCATAGAGAGCCCACAATGCCTCAGTGCAACAGCACTTTAATGCCTTTATGCCTTAACAAGCTCCTTCTCCTTCTCCACGTCTGTATTTATGCAGGCAACTTTCCTCAGGTGGAGCATCTTCGCTCAGCGCCATGCGGATGTAATCCAGCTGGCGTTAAGTTGACCACCAGTTCTTAATCCATAACAGTGTCCAAATTAGGGCTCCATCAATTGAGAATTAGCCCCTCGTGTCTTATTTTTCTCACTGAGGTCTGGTAGCTGCGTGCCCGACAGAGGGCTAGGGAAGGACCGTGAGGGGTGGGTGTGTCGGGAGCACCGTGCAGCACGAGGTGCTGGGCACACCCAAGGGGGGCCTGCTGAGGTGCTCTCCAGGGCACTTTGCAGCTTACTCTTCATTTCAGTGCTCTGTCCTCTTCGATTCTCATTTCTGTCCCATCTTCTGTTTATTATTTTACCTTCATTCCTTTTGAGGAATGGTTAACACACCAGAAATGGGCTTTTCTCTTTGTTCTGTCATAGTTTGCTTTATGCACTTTTGTGACCTGTAACTTCATGAGGAGTTTGTCCTT